TGGGTCCGACAAAGCAGGGAGTCAACAGTCTGCATGCTCACTCCGGGGACCACACACTGCCACAGATGACTAAGGCACATAGCTTCATTAAGGAGCCGAAGCAAAAGCTCCCAGATGGCCTGAGAGTTAGCCAGCATGCCCAGCCTGGGTGGCAGATGAGTTCTGGGAACAGCAGCGGGTCGCATCTCATTAATAGAGTTTTAAGCCTGTGCACAGACTGCACAGTCTTGACCTTGACACATTCGTGTTTCACCGAGGCAGGAAGACAAGCAAATAGGACCAGAAGCTTTAGTTCACTGATTGAGTGGAGACACACTCCCAAGCTAATCCCAGGTCACACTTGGCCCCAAGAGGAAAAGGTCTGTGTCTGAGAGACCTCAACTTGACCCTTTGGAGACCTGATCCCACCCAGCAATGATGGCCAAGCCTTAAGGGGAACCTGAGCCTCCAGGACAGGGTACCCGGGTGGGGGCTCTGTGTTTTCACAAGGTCAAACCTGTTTCTAAAGAAAATCCTATCACTTGTCCTTCATAGTCAATATTAAGAATTTCTGTAAATTATATTTATTTTAAACTCATTTCCTTTTGGGCTATTTCAGATGATGATTAAAAAATACAAGTCAGGATTGAATCTCTATCTATCATCTATCTATCTATCTTCTCCCTCCATCACTCTATCCCTCAGTCCCTCCTCTTAAACAATTTCCTCAGACCCAGAAGGTTCTCAAAACCATGTTATACAAGGAGAGGAAAGACGGAGAAGGTGTTGCTGTTAAAGGTCATTGAAGACAAAGGAGTCTGGAAGGGCAATCAATTTAACCAAACACTTCCCCTGTGCTTTCAAAGCAGGAGGAATTGATTATGGGTCGCTCTGGGAAGAGAGCAGGCACTTAGTCTAGCCTATCTGTGACTATGGTGCCTCTGAGGAACGGCAAAGTTGCCTCTGCAGCAACAGGACACAGTCCCGCAGCAACTACCTGTGAAAGAAGCCACTTCCCCATCTCCTTCCACTCTTCCTTTTTTTCTCCTCCTCTCTCCCCTTTTCATCTTCCTTCTCCTCCTCCTCTTCCTCCCTTTCTCCCAAAGCCTTGCAATTCGTGCAGCAATGGCTCTGCTTGCTTCTCTGGTGACTGGAGAAACTGGCAAGTGATTCACCTCCTCTCCCTCAGTTCTTTAGGGGTCACTAGAGCTGGGGAGGTACAGCAGGGTGAACCTGGCTCCCAGGCTGCAGGATGCTGCAGATACTGCTCTGGTTCAAGGTCTGAGACCTGCTTGCTGAACCTCTTGGTGGGCTCTCGCCAACTCCTAAGCTCCAGGCGCCCCCACCGGTGGGAATTTTCATATTCATTACATCCAAACCCAGCTGTTTGGGTTTAAAGATAATAAAAATGAAAAATCTCTGAATCTAATATTCATTTAACAAATCAGTATAGAACTGAAATCCTTGGCTGGTATAAGGCGGTCTGCTTCAGGGCATCTGTGTCTCACCCAGTGCTTAGAGGTAGAAAGTCTTCCCAGGGCTCAAGGCATTTGGGGAAAACCCTGGGATGCCATCTCTGCTCCATGAAGGCCTGGCCCTAGGGCACCAGCCATTCCCAGCTCCTTCTCTGGAGGGGAGGCCCTTCTCCAGCCCTGGGTGTCCTCTCTAGTTCTGGTTTCATGCTCATGGGTCCCCTGATTAGCTTGGGGACACCGCTCTGGCCCCAAGTCCCTTTCTGTGTTCGTTTTTCAGGTTCATTCCCTTTCTCTTAATGTATGCCTGCCTCTCCCTGGCTGTGAACTCTTGGCCACGCCTATTCCTGGATTCTTGGCCATGTGCAAGCTTCTCAGAACTTTAGTGTCCTGTTCCTGTGGCCCCTTCCCAGACCTCATAAAGGTACCAAGGACTCTTGCTTCTCATAAGGACTGTTGTATGTATCCATGAAGCTGGTCCTACCAGCAGTCAACCTGTGGTTTCAAGTTCCCAAAGCTTTGGAATCAGACTTGCAAACTACTGCTGATTTGGGAGTACAGAGCAGTGAGTGTCTTTGTCAACAATCACTGTGAAGAGACACCATGACCACGGCAGCTCTTATAAAGAAAGACATTTCAATGGGGCTGTGTGGTATAATGTCCCGCTGACTTGGCGCCAGAGGGATAGCAAGCAACCTCCACTAGCCATGAAACCCCGCTGGGTTATACCTGACCTGGCTCCGAGTTTTCACACGGCCCCTAGTCCACTCTTTATGTTACAGATACCCTTTTGTTGTCCTCTATGAATCTTGTCTGAGAGTTCCCTTCCCATGGATACAAAGCCTATGCAAAACGTGGCGTAGAGGAAACCCGGAAAACCATAGTACCTCCTGAATCAGGTATTTTCACCTGGCATTGCATTTTTGGAAACTTCATTCAGTTTGTTTTGAGACATGGAAATATACTAGCTAAAGTGTAAATACAGGAAAAAATAAAGATGCCAAGGGGCAAAGGGAAAGCTTTCCGTTCACCGAGACTGAGTCCCCTGCAGCCACAGAGGCTAGGTTCATTCTTAGGTGTCACTGTGTCTTCATTTCACAGACTTGTGGGAACCCACACAGCTAGCGCCAAGTTACACCTGACAGGACTGGCTTCCATTCAGAGATTAGGTCATGATCATCGTGGCAGGAAGCATGGCGGCACACAAGCAGACGGCTGGATGGGCAGCTGACAGTGCTACATCCAGATCAGCATAAAGTATGGCAGGCACTGGGCCTGGCTTGAGCGCTTGAAACCCCAACGCCCACCCCCAGTGACCACTGTCCTCCAGTAGGACCACCAGTCCCAACACCTCTCCCTGGCGACCAAGCATTCAAATCTACAAGCCTGTGGAGGCATTCTTATTCAAACCTCCACAGTGGATGAACGGTGTGCATAAAAGACACGGAATCAGGGTGATATCGCTCCCCTGGGTGGAGCAGGAAGCTGACAGGGCCTCAGGGCCCCCTCACAGTGACTCTTGACTTATGGAAAATCCATCACATTCAGAACAGAAAGGCCACAAAGCCACCTGGCACATCCAGGAGTTCTAACTGTCTTCCAAGCACAAGATGACAGGGACATGGTAGCTTCCTACCTCACCCATGCTTTGACTCACCCAGGGACAATCTGGTCTGGTGATGTTAAATGGAACATCCCAAAGCTACACACAGAGTTTAAATACTCTATTACAGTTGATCATGACTATAATCGCTCTATTTAGTTATTATTTACCTCGTTATTCTTAATTACAAGTTAGACTCTTAGGTCAGAACATGAAAAGCAACACACAGCACATATGTGACCTGATATTACCCACAGACTCAGGCATCCTTGGGATACCTTGGAAATACATGATCTGATATTACCCACAGTGTCCCCGATGGACCAAGGAGGAACCTCTATACTAGAATTTTCATTTTTGTTCTGAAAACATATTTGAACACAAATACAAATGTGCTTGTGTGTGCGCCCCCTCCCACCAAAGAGTCACTGTCGTCGTCGTCCTCTTCTCCCCCCCCCCCCCCCCCCCCGCTCCCCAAAGAGTCACTGAAGAATAAACGGAAAAACAAAAGAGATGCTGTCACCAGCATGGAGGAAGCAGACCTGCAAATTCTCTGGCCCTCGCATACTCCAAGGTCACAGTTCAGTATTCTAAACATAACAGATTGTGTTCATGCGCTACCAAAACCCAGTATACCATGAGCAGGCCACCTGTCTATCTGTGGGCCATCATCACAAATGCAAGACTTCACCTCCGCGTTCTCAGGAAAACTGGGGCCTTTTCCACCCTGGGCCCAAGACACGTTAGTTTCCATTGCCGTATCTGTAGGCTGCTGGCGACTTTGAGTCATTGCTGTGCCACAGGCTCAAGCATGACACACGGCTGCGTGTGAAAGATGACAACAGCCAACCGAAGAGAGCCAGTTATTAAAGCAAGGAGACTGCAAGCAGGAAGTCGAACTAATTCGAGGGAAATGGAACTTAGGAATCATTCCAAATTCTGCTACGGAAACTTTGCCACTTAAGAGACTCAACATTCTTAAGCCTGGAGCCATTCAAAATCAGGCGAATTCTGCCTGTGAGCTAAGCAATTAAGAACAGGAATTGGGCCAAACTAGACAAGTTCCCATCCAAATCCAATTACAGCTGGGTGGCCCTAGCCGACTACAGAAACTCTAATTGAGGTCTGTTTTGGAACGGGTCTGTTTTGGAACGGTGGTCTACATCCACTCATAAATGCTTCTATAAGGATTAAACAGGAAAACTTGTTTGGCGTGTGGTACAGTTGGGTACCTCCTGCAACTGCTCATGAGATGTTCATCATGATTCTAAGCAAGAAGGACAAGCATCATTCTGGTTCATAGTGTCAAGGTGGCTGGGTCTAGACTCACCGATGAGGCACGCTTCCAGGCATGCCTGTGAGTCATTGCCTAGATTAGATTAACTGAGGTGGAATGTGCCACCGTTACTGTGGGTAGTAACAGTCCATGGCCCAGGGCCCTGGGATAAATTAGAGGGTTAAAAAAAACTAAGCTAAATCTCTCTGCTTCTTGACTGCAGAGGAAATGTGACTGGCCAGCTACCTTGAGTTCTTGCTGCCAGCCTTCCCCGCCAGCATAGACCCTTAAACTGGCCAAAATCAGCCTTTACCTACCTAAGTTGCTCTTGTCTGATATTTTCTCACAGCAAGGAGAAAAATAACCAAAACAGGCAGCTTTTGAGAGCATTCCATACTACAAAAACCAATAATCATAATCATAATAAAACAAAAAATAAAAATACCTTGCCAAAGCTGGCCATAGCTCTCATCCCAACTCTCTGGGAGGCTGAGGATACATTTTAGAAAAGCCAGGGCTCCATAGCGAGATCCTATCTCACCTCTGCCCCCTAAATAAAAACAACAACAAACCTTGCCAATTCTAGAAGTCCTGAGTGACCAAGAGCAAAGAGCAAGTTGCATGGCTGACTCAGAAACAGGCGTGACAGGTAAAGGCACAGCCCACTTACCCCCAGGATTCCAAGGCGCTCAGCCAGGCTCCAGCCACAGAGAAAGTCAATCTCAAATTTATGGTTGAGAACCACAATGGCGTTTTCCTTCCCGTAGTGCAGGGAGGACCTCGGGTCGGTGTAGATGGTGCACTCCGTGCCTGACCACCACTCCAGAAGCATCACCAATTCTGCAAGAAACCAAAGGACACACACAGATTTACTTCACCACCCTGAGGTCCTGGGGCTGCTTTTGTTGGGCCATGCTATAAGACAAAGCTGCTTCTAAGGGCAAAGTTTCAGGGCATTTTAGCCAGGACCCCAGCTGTTGGAAGGGTTATAAACAAGCAAGACCCGGCAACAGTCTTCAGGGAGGGAGAGGAAGCTTCAGATTAGCCAGGCCTTTATACCTCTTGACAAAGTAACTTGGGAGAAATCACATCAGTCTGGATCCACCCACATCTATGTCCGAGTGCTGACCGCATGAGATGGTATATGTTCTATAAACGACTAGCTGACAAGCTTCTAAACTCCATCTAAGAATGCTGTGGACTCAACTCCTTCTCTCCCACTAATGACACCTGACGGCATCAAGAATGACCAGCAACCACAGTGGAGCAAAATACAAGTTTCTCCATTTCAGTGACTCGGAGTCAGCATGCTGTAGGCTTCAACAAAACTATCACCATATTCTTTAGAGGGGCCTGTGAAAATTAAGACTTGTTTTCAGGTGACAATCTGACTGTGTTCTGTGTGTGGGGGGAGGCCTTTATTCTAGGCGGCCAGTTTTCTGAGGCTGGGGGTCTCAGGAAGACCGTGGGGGAAGCTCTAGACACAGAGTTGAATGTGAACGACAACATAGCCCCTTCAAGTGCACCTTTAGAGTGGGAGGTGTTGGCAGGGGGGTGCTATATGGGTTCTCTATGAAGGTTGCACCCTTGTTTGTAATACTTAGTGGGGTACACATTGTATAGAGGCTCCTACACCCTACATGTACACAAAGACAAGTGGGTTTGATCTTGATTGCCTGGAGACACCTTTCTCTTCCAGACTGGAGGCTGAATATGGAACACTAGAACCATCTAGAAGGCCCCATAGTCCAGTTTCTAAACTGTGCATAATCTAACCCCATGGTTTGGTCATGTCTTTTCTTTGTGGTGTGAATGCCTCAGGGGGTCTTATAAAAATTTCTGGTGGTCAGGACCACTCCGGTTCCCTCTTGGGAGGGCCACCAGGTAAGGAGAATGTCACCCATCCTGTTGACTACCATGCTATACCTTTGATCATTGCCAAAGGCATTCCTCTGTGCCCTGAGGCTGAGTCACCCAGGTGGGGACCGCTGTCCTCAAGTCCACTCAACAGAAGAGGTAGAGAGAAGACTAAATCGGCACACCGTGCCATAGAGAAGTGTCTGTTGTCACCTCAGGTCATCCCCACAGACTGACTCAACTGACCCAGACATTTCTCCCCTGCTCAGTCTGTGAGTCTGGCATTTAGAATGACACCAACAGCCACCAAGTCCCCTTGGCTGCTGATATTTAGTCTCTCTGGGCCTTTGTCCAATTTAAATGCAGGTCAAAAGCCCGACTCTACTGAAACTGTAAACATGGGAGCCATCTGGCACATTCCCATGGGCTTATGCGTAGGATAGAACCCTACATGTGGGTGAGGCTTATGGCTCCATCATCCCCAGTTAGTCCACTCTGGAAACAGGCGCCAGGCATGGGACAATGTCAAGTGGGTCACACACAGGTGAGAGCCCACCCTGGTTCACCTTCTTCAAATCCTCAGTGCTGGCTCTTCTGAGACCTCTTGGCTAGACACTTGGTGTGAGTCACCCATTGTCCTTCCAATAAATCCCATTTGAGGAGAGCACAGGCAGCACTTCCTGATACTCCCAGCACTTACAAACTGTTCCGGCTGGGAAACACTGACTCCCAACTCAAAGCAGGAGAAAAGTCCGACGCCAATGCCTTCATTTTGTATCTGTCTGTATTGTTTTAAATTGTTGGGACAGACCTGTCTAACTGCAGGTAGGCCTGCCCATCACTAAAGGGCAATCTAAGTATGATGGGACGTCAGCATGAAGGGACAGAGAAGGCTGACATGTCGCTATCAGCATCCGCAATGTCCTGTCTGCGCAGCATCCCCTCCCAAAGTGCCCGAAAGTCTCTAGTTAGTGTCTAACCTTGCAGCCATCTTAGATTCCAGGAGTATAGAGCCTTATAGGTTACTCCCTGACCCCAAGCAGAAACATTCATTTCAGGGAAGTGGGATTATCCCATGCAATGGGACTTCCTTCTCCAGGTCCACCTTGTAGAACCACCTGAGATGCTGAACCAAGACCACAGTCTGATGGAGGATCCTCAGTCACACAGACCTCAAGCTCCCGCTCCTGTTCTTACTATTCAATCCCGACAGCTCAGGCTGGTACCCCACATGGGCCGAAATGATGACGACACGCCTTTGCCACCCTTTCAATATCACTGCAGTTTGCTGTCCCTAAAACAAGACTAAACTTGAGATAATGGGGCTCCCGGGGTTAAGCCTCTAGACTAGGACTTGGGTTATTGCACAAGGAAAGAACTCTTCCATCATCCATGAAGGAACCTGGGTTCTGTCTCCCTCTTTGTTCCTCCTCTTGGATACTGCCCTTCCCTATCTAACAGCCCTCTGGATTCTGTGCCCTGAATCTCTCCATCGTGGCAGTGCCCCGGGGCGAGAATGCACTGTGCTCTGCAGCAGTTCTGTGGACGAAGTGACCAGTGCTGCAGTTGGAGGTGATGAGCAAGAGCCTCCGGGAAGCAAGCCTGAGCCTCACTGGCCACAAGCACAAGCTTTGGAGGGGGCTGAAGTATCCGGACACAGGGTTAGCCCAGTTGGCTGCCTGCAACGGTGCCTCCATCCTCAGCAGCTCTCCCAGATGACGAGGAAACAAGGCACAGGTTTTCTTTAGCGGCCCCCACTTCTCCCCACAAGCTACTTTCTCCTCCATTTGGAATAAGCCAACAAATACACAACACAGCATTGTAAAATCAGAGAACCGGGGAAGGTACACACTGGATGCGAGGGACGGGGAAGCATGCAGGGTCTCTAAGCAGTCAGCAGCAGTTCTCAAAACCTCCCATTTCTCAACTTTCAGTTTATTTAATGCTGCCCACATCAGTTTTCTCTAGGCTGTTCCCTCAAACAGAGGCATGACAGCTGCCCCTTCTCAGGACAGCTGCACCTGGTGTCCAGCCCTGGCCCTGGTTCCTGGCTGCTATGTTTTCTTTAGACTCCTGAAATGGTCCTTGTGCACCTGATGCCAGAAAGAGGCATGTTTACAGGAAGTGATTATCACTGGGGGAAAAAAATACCATAATTACTGCTTTGAGGGGCTAATTGAAATGTGAAAGCTTTAAACTCTGGCTATAGATGTCTGGCCTGACCTACAGATTTAGTTTTGTTTGCTCTTGTACCCACCATTCAGCTTAAAGAAATTATGGGTAGGAAAAGGAAAACTCAAGGAAACATGGAAGGAGGGAAGGGAGGCACATGTGGCATCCTAGGAGAGCAATTGTGGAAATGAGGATACTGAGTCTCGGAGAGGGGAGACAACGGCCTAGAAGATGTGGGTATGCATACCAAGGCCAAGCCAGGAGGTGTCCCCAGAGCCTGGTGCAGATCTGAGATACTGAACACCTTAAAGTCATGACTGTCTAAAGGAGGAGTCAAGAAGAGGTAGGGAAAGAGAAGAGGACCAGCAGGGAGGGGATACACCTTGACCTTGGGCGAACCTGTGCTCAGATTAGCTACCTTATAAAGATGAAATGATACAGCCCAAAGGCTTGTCCTCTCCCAATGGCCTCAACGCATTAAAGCAGATATCTGCCTGCCACGAAGGGTCTTTCTCCACGGCGCTATCACTGACGACCACATAGTGGACATGCAGGCGTGCGAGTGCAGACACACGCACGCACACACACACACACACACATGCGCACGCACACATACACACGCACATGCACACGCGCGCGCACACACACACACACACACATGCGCACACACACACACGCACGCGCACACACACATCCACGTGCATACACACGCACACACATATGCACACACGCACACACACATGCACACGCGCGCACACACACACGCGCGCACACACACATCCACGTGCACAAACAAGCAGCAGGGAAGCAGGTGGGTCCAGTGTCCGTTTTGAGGTAGCTGTGTCTGTTTAAGCATTTTACAAGGATGGCTGACTGATCAAAAGCCAAATTATCCTGACCCATCTTTAACCCCTTTTGATAATCATGTACTACCCTCCTCAGTGTGTGACTATCAATTAACATCCTTTGGGGACTATAAAAACAGAGCCCTGACCTTCACTAACCCCAGGGCTCAGGACACAGTCAGAGCTCAGAAGCCACTGTCAAGTTTTTCCCACTTGGCGATTCCCATCCACCTGGTATTTCCACTAATGCATTTTAAAGTGTCTTGGTCTGTGATTTTCTTTGTTGTTGTTTTAAAAGTTTCACAAAAGGGTTGGAGATGTGGCTCAGTGGTTAAGAGCACCGGCTGCTCTTACTGAGAACTGGGTTAGTTTCCTGCATCCACATAACAGCTCATAATCCTTAACAACTGCAGTTCCTGGGGACCTGACGCCCTCTTCTGGCCTCCATAGGCACCAGGCATGCACATAATACACATTCAGACGTGCAGGCAGAACACCCCCGTACACATACACACAACACACATGCACACACACACACACACACACACGTTCACAGATACGTCTATATTTATTGCATAAATTTATAAATACATATGTATATGCATGTGTATGTGTATATACATACATATATAAATAAAATAAATCTATCTTTACTTTTTTTTCATGAAACTATTACTGTATTGGAGCATGCTATATGGAGTAACCTAAATCTGGGTTGCTAGGCTATAGTCACTTATCTTTGGCTCTAGAATAAACTACATATAGAAACTATAAATATGGGATTGGAGAGATGGCTCAGAGGTTAAGAGCACTGGCTGCTCTTCCAGAGGTCCGAAGTTCAAGTCCCCGGATCCATATGGTGGCTCACAACCATCTGTAATGAGATCTGGTGCCCTCTTCAAAGGGTGTGCAGGCACCAATGTAGGCAGAACCCTGTATATAAAAATAAATAATCTTAAAAAATAA